AAGAAAAAAAAAAAAAAAAAAAAAAACCGGGGTAGACACTATGATTCCACGGGACAAAAAGGAAGTAGAGGAAATGATGTTAGGGGTAGGGCGACGATCGCTGGTTTTCGCCAGTCGTTCCTTTTTCCCCCTCTGTTTGCCCTAGTTTTCCTTTCAAACTAGTGACGTCATCGACGTCATTGAGAAGGCCGTCGACAACGCGTCCTAATTCCGAGCTTGCAATTGAATAAACCCGGATTGCAGCTTGTCTCACCATCCTTCCAACTTGGCATCCTTATGCGCCCCGTCCGCACGCATTATTACACGCACAATCTCTCTTCCTCTGCCTCTTTAAGAGGTGTGTACGGTTAAGAGAGATTCTTACGCGTGCATACGTCGAAGAATCGACGCGTTTCACGGGGGAGAGAAAAAAAGGGCACGGTGGGGTTGTTGCAGCGGCTGTTTCCAGTGAGAACGGCGAGCCACCGCAACGAATCAATCGGAACGGGGACGACAATTGAAAATCCGCTGCTCCACCACCACCCCTCATTCAGCTAGCCAGCGACATAGCAGCGCGTTGAAAACGTACGGTCGGGTCGTTGCGCTTTGCCGATGACGTGAATGTTACGTCACGTCGTCATGGTAACCGTCGTACCGTTGTCGATCTCCCGTTCCAGCGAACTCCGCGAAAATTGAGGCTTCGACCTCGAATTAGGTCGCTGTTGTTCCACTTTGAATCGCCACCCCCCAATCTAGAGGAAACTAGCGCCCTCCGCGCCTCCTTCTCCCGCTCGCACACCTTTCTCATTTTTCTCGACTGTTCGTCGAGACGATTCCTCGAAGGTAACAGAATTTTCACCAATTCTCTCGTTTGGGGAAGCGGGGAAATTAAAAGGGTATTTGGAGAAAGGAGGATGAAACGGTTAGTAAATATACTCAAGTGGCGTAGAATCATAATGTAATCGTATTATTTCTCTCAACGTAACACGGTATTATTATCATTATCATCATCGTTACAATTATAACTTCTCTATCATTTGTATTATACATATATCCGCTATCCGATAATGTCATCCTGATCCATTTCTGATCATTACGTTCTATTTCTAGCAGTGGTCGTAACATTCGTAACAGTAACATGGGTAACAACAGCGATAATGATAACAATCGCAATAATAATGATAATTGTCATAATCGTAATCATCAATCGTAGTAATTATTATTATAGTAATATTTATCAGCCGGCAATGTGTTGTATCAATTCGAAGATTGCGATGCTCTCTTTTTGCGCACGATATTACATAGGCACAAGTGTGCGCGTTCAAGCGTTCGATTCATGTTTTCTTTTTTTTTTTTTTTTTGTTTTCATCGATCGAAATTCATCATATAGCGATCGAAAATATTGTCAAAAGTATTACATATATTTCTCTTTCTTTCCACGAGATAAATATTTCAAAGATCACGACGAACTTTCGTATCTGGAGGCACTATCGTCGACATTATATTCTCTCTCTCTCTCTCTCTCTCTCCTCACGACTTCACGCGTCTCGTTTCTCACCGGTACGTAATTTCATGAAATTTCTCATCGGGTATCCCTCTAAAGAAAATGCTTCTCGTATGTATGTGTGTGTATGTGTGTTCCTATGAAAGAACGAGCGAGAGAAACGAACGAAAGAAAAATTGGGAGAAATAGGGATACGATGTTGTCGCTTAACATTACTGTAGATACATGTATAAGTAAGTCGATAAAAAATCGGACGATTGTTTTGAGCGTAAAAAGTGTTTCATGAAATGAATATCGGAGGATTAATATTTTATCATTCGTCTCTGAAATCTTATCGATTTCTTGCTCGAGATAGCGCCGCTATCTAAACGTGAAACAAATTTTTCCATTTTTCTTTCTCTTCTTCTTCCGCGTCTGAAGGAAAGTTATCGATTCGGTTCTCTTCCGTTTCGTTTCGTTTGTTGCTTCGCTTTCGCGATCATACGTTCTCGTTCGGGTTCGTTTTGCATAGATTGGGAAGCGTAATAGTAAGAGTAGCGGTATAACAGAACGGTGCTTTATGGTGTTCAAAAGCGCTTCGTGCTTGGAAGGCAATCGTTACGCTTTGTCGTAAGTAACTCTTGCAGGCTTTGTTACGCGCGCGATTGTCTATGGTATTTGCGAGGCGATGCAGCGTGATTCGCCTCGCGAATGTGAGATTACGTACGAAGCGATTTGAACGACAGTTTAAAAATGGGGAGAAATGACAGGATCCTAGACAGGATGAACGTTCTCGATTATCGAACGCGTTCGTCCAACGCTGGGTCAGCAGAGGCGGCTGCTTGATCTTCGCTCGAGCTCGGGAACCTTTATGCACGTTCTAAAAGAAAAAATCCAGCCGTTTTATCGAAGCGAATGATACGAAATGATCCAATCTACCTAATAACAGTGGCGTCTATCGCAGACAGGCAATCGAATTACATGTTAGGCGAGCAAATAATACCGAACAACTCAAAGGAACAATTAGTATTTGCAGAAGCGATAGAGATAGGCGACATGAAACGCGAGGGTTTCATGACCGAATTCAACACACTATCAACGTGATCAAACCTAATGGAACTGTAACGAATTCACGTTCAGTAGAAACGCAGTTGTTACAGAAAAAAGGCTAAACTCCGTTGTTCATGCGCAGCTACATGTTACAACAAGGCTTTTCATCGTCGACAACTTACCCATCTTATTCACTGAGCACTGGCAGTAGAGACCTTACGCGACGATTGAATTAAAAAAAAACTAGAATTAGCTCGCGAATATTTTTCTCTCTTACACTACTATCGCGTATTCCTTCGATTTTCGAACGATTCGACGAGAAATTGAGTATTTTCCTCGATTCCGAAAGTAAACACTTACAATTCGATGCTCTGAATGGTCGACGTGGGACACGTGATATCCACTTTAACGTGACAATGCTTGTGACATTTCATTTGACAGTCTCTGCACTCGTAGCCTTGTTTGCCCAATCGTCGTACGAGCGTTCGTTTGCAAACCTCGCACACCGTACCGCTGAAAGTAAACATTTCGTTGGTAAGAATTTCTCCCTGACGGTCAGTGTTCTTCGTCGACTCGACGGGACAGCTCACCCGGGCATGTGCTTCGCTATGAAAGTGTGATCGTTGAATATGTGCAGCTTCGTGCCCTTCTTCCTCCATTTGCTCTTCTGTGCGAGCGACAATGGTACTAGGTAATGTCTGAAAAGCAAGAGAAACAAGAAACGGCGTATGAAAAAAACTTGTGTAAAAATGCGAATGGAGAATATCCACGTTGAAGTTGTTTACTTTTTGATACCGTTCTCGAGAGTCTCGAGAACTAAGGTGGAAGCCTCGTTAACATAAGTTCTGGCCGACGCTCCGCTAACACCGGAAGCCTCGCTCAAACTCGATCGCCTCGAATGCTCTTCCCTTCCTGGTATCGATAAACGAGCTATAAAAATTCAAGCGAAACGGTCGTTTGCACAAGGGTAGTGTTAGAGCCGCGTTTAAAAGATGAAGTATGTCGGCTGTAGGCATTAGCGTATTGTTATTGGCACTCGGCGGTTTTTGCATTGGCATTGGCAGCGTGATATTTTGGCATTTCTATTGGCTTTTTCTTTTCATCTGTAAGAACGATCTTACGGAGCTACGGAGCAAAATGTGCAGACGTTCTATTGTTGTTTGCCCGTTGCATCATTGCTATGAAGACGATGTTCGTACTCACCAACATCGAGAGTATCACGGTGCAGAGGATTCGTGAGCAAAACAAACAAGTAGAATTTTACAGTAACGACTCGAACTAGGGTGTACGGTACTAATGCTATTCTACAGTGAAAAACACGGTTTCGTCCAAGGATTGTTGGCCTTTGACGTGGCAAATAGTACACCCGTGAGTAAACATACCCGAGCCAGGATCACGTGCTCTATCCGCCGATATTGATCTAGAGTGTTGATCCTCGTGACTCGAGTCACCTTCTGGTCCCACCGATCTACTTCTTGTTTTCGATCGACTCAGTCGTTTTTTTATCGTACCGAAGAAGTCTCGTCGTTTTCTTCTTGTTCTGCCTCTTTCTGCGACAGAGAAAGGACGAGTTACTTCGAATCCGATGTATCGTATAAGACATTCGCAACGTTGGTAGAAAAATAGAATCATGCCGCATGTTAGATACCTTCGGAATTTGAAGAATTCGGAGTGCTTTCTGGTCCCGATGTTGCGCTAGTGTCTTTCGGTCCATGCTGAAACGAAGGAAGTCGAACGTTTATACAGAGATAGTTGGGGTTACGCGGATATTTTAGAAGGTTTCTCTCTTTCTCAACGGGCTCTAACTGAGTTAGCGTATGTTAGAAGTTTAAGTACAGGGTGAAAATTGCGCGGTAACGAACTACGGCGTATAATTACCTCCGGGGAGATCTCCTGCCAGTTTCCACTTTCCGTTAAGGTGACCTGTGGAATTAGTAAACACACGCCACTCAGCTGACGATAATTAGTGTTCTCGTGAAACAGAAGGCTGCTTGATTTCGAAACGGTCGACGGATGCAAAGAAAATAAGGGAAAGGAAGAACGAAAGAACAAACGACGAGAGTAAAAAGTGGAGAACTTGTGAGTCTTTTTCTATCGAAATTAGAGAACGCGTGTAAAAGACAAAAAGGATCGGGTGGGACAGGATCGGGTCGTCGACGACAAGATGTGAAGAAGCAACGGCTTACCTTAACCACCTGCCGCTCCGGTTGCTGGAAAAGAAAAGCCACAACACGAAAGATAGATAATAGAAGTGAATCGGTGTTAGTTAACAAAGAGCAAATTTTCACGGATCTTATAATTGCATTCAACGTGCGGATTTTATCGAGCGTACCCTTTGCTGGCTGTGCACGATCAGAGTTCCTTTGTTTCCGTTCGATTGGCCAGTTCTATAGGGCGAGTCCACCACGTTCCCGTTCGTCAGGTAATCTGCGAATTTTCCCAAAGTTAGACCACACGCGACATCGTTGGACCGGATTGTCGAAAGATTATCCGAAGATTTACGACTTTCTACGCTCGTCATTCTACCAAGCATCTGTCATTTCGTTTACCAGATGATTTTTCGCCTTTGGCAACGCGTCCGTGATTATGTAAGCATTGCATTTTGCTGTCATCGCGATTTGCCAGACACCTCGCTTCTCTCTGGTGGTCGAAATAACTTGGCGAAGAATTGTCGATCGTGAGAAAATTTTTCAACAATAAAACCGTTTCATACCGTGCTTGAGGATCGAGTTAATGGTCCAACGTTAAGTAACGCGTGGAGTGGAGGGTAATAAAAAAAAAAAAAAGTAAGGGAGGGAGAGAGATAAAGAATCGTACGTACACGTTATACATAATTTCACATGCGAAACACTACGTGGGAGATGTACAATCCGATGGTACCAAGGGGTGGATAAAGTTTCATTTGGTCTACTAATGAACGACGAATCAACACGGTCTATTCTATGGTTGCAGAAGAGTAAAACAGGATCTGTGTTGTTACGTTGAGAAGAAACGCGATGATATTTCGGTACAGATACTAACACGGGGGTATCACTATGGTTCCACACTCGTGAACACGAAACGCAGATAATTGATTGGTAATTACCCCCTTCGGATTGAACGGTAGAGTCGTACAAGATAAGTGTGCTGTTACCATTGTTGTAATTTAGACTATTGTCGCTGATGAGATTTGTCGGAGTGTAGGTACGAGGAGTCGGTGACACCGGCTTTATCGTCTCCTTCACCTTGTAAGGTTTGCTCCCGATTTGAGGCACCTCCGCACCCTCGATGAACAGAAACTGAGAAAAGAGAGAGAGAGAAAAGAAGAGAGAGGGGGAGGAGAAAGAAGAGAGAAACAGAAGAGGAGCGAACAGCCAGGTTGAAACGTAGAACCACTTTTGAACATCTCGTTTCCTCGCTTACCTCGACGGTCAACGTGCCGGTAATATCTTCTTCCTCGTACGGCCGATTCTGGAGAGGTATAATCTGTCTCTGGCTGGGATTAGCAAGCAGCTCGTCGATCCCGACGATTCCCAGGCCTAAGAATCGTTGGGATTTATTCACGCGATCGTAAACTTCCAGCAACACTTCCGACGTGTTCCGATTCACGTCACTGTTATAATTACGAGCAATTATTAGATCTCCGGAGCGACACCGATGCATAACGTAACTTACAATAAAAATGCTTCGTCCCAGAGTGGATTTCTGGTATCTTTCTTGACAGAGGTCTGATTCTTTTGCGACGGTTCGTCTAATTCGACGACGCAGTATGGTTCGGCGGCACCTTGTTTGCCGCCTAATTCCGTTGCTTTCACAACTTTAACCAACAGTCGTCTTTCACCCTGTACATATTGATTCTGGATCGGGATTTGACTCTGAGCCTGAAGTCGTTGCTTCGAGGCTTGAAGCGAACCACTCGACGTGTTCTACGAAATAAGTTACACGATATTAGAGGTGGAGTAGAGAATTTGGTTCGTTTCGAAATAGACTCACCATGCTGTCGTAATGCATAGGCATCGAAAAGATGGGTTGCGTAGTGGCCGGTTCCCTCCATAACCGCGGACAGCTCGGATATTCGAATAAATTCAGATGAACATTGATCCCCCTTAACGCGCCTATTACGATTTCCGTTACAACTTCCTGCAACTGGCTCTCGTCCAAATCTTTCTTTATTGTGCCCACTTGGGCCAACGATACTTTCACCTAACCAAACGAAACGAAAAGTACGTGAGCATAGGATTGATTTCATAGATACTTGTGTAGCCGAGGAATTATATAAAAATTATATGTATATATAAATAGACACAAACATCCGGCCAACCGTCGCATTTCAAGTCGAGAAGCAGCTTCTCGGTGATGCAAATGACGTTTAATCGCGCGCGGAAACGATTTACGTTCACTCGATAGTGACTGACTTCCAGTTTATCAGCTTTCCGGCGGGACGCTTTCAGCTGTAACGCTGGAGTAGCTTCGCAATCGCACGTGATCGTCTGAAACAGAACAAAGGACGCGCGTCGCTCTATTAAAAGCAAACCGGACACTCTTGAACATCGACCTACGTACCACGTCGTCCTTGGAGTCGCACTCGCAAAAGATGTTGGAGAGATTCGGCGGGTGTGTTTCAGGTAAAACGCGAACAAACTCGACTCCAACTCCGTGCTGTAAAGAGATAGTTTAGTCGTAAAGGTAACTCGACGAGCACGATTCTTGGGTGTTTTGCAACTGGTAAACTTGGTCGCACGAGAACACCCACGCGCGGCGCGCGGCGAGAAGATAGCGGTTGCCTTATCTAGTCTCGCCGGTTGGTGTTTCGCGCGCGGCACGAATTTCGAAGGAAACTCTGGCTCGGGGCGAATATGTATTCGCGGTAAGTCTCACCTCGTCGACAGAATTTGCGGTAAATTGATTGAGAGACACGACCCAATCGGCCAAGAGAACGTCGAGAATGGCCGGGTCGCAGTAAAGCCAAACGATGACCTCGTTAACCCAGCGTACAGCATCGGGATCTGCACCGGTGGCGGTCGGTAGATGCAAACTTCTTGTGCTCCTGGCAGGACTGACGAAAACACCGGATGTCTTCCTGGCGGTGAGACGTTTGCGCACAGGAGGCGTCGGTGGAACGTAAGCCGAGGGCGAGGGTCCGGTACCGGAAACGAGGCCG